AGTATTGTGCCGGCGGGCAAGATTTCCAAGTGTGTCCTTGGTGTGTCTATGTTAATGATTTATGAATCAAAAAGAAGAATTTACCATGTGATCCAAAACAAAGCCATGATGTCTAGCAAAACAATGATTGACGGCCTGAGGATACACTAGCAAGGGTAGAGAATAAGTTCCTAGTGTCCCCTGGACTCCGAGAATAGGTGGGGAGACAAGTTCTGAGGCTTCAATGTACAAAAGTTCTTGCTTCCAATGAAAACATGCAAGGAATGGCTTCCTTTAGTGCTCTGTTTTCGAAGACATTTTGAAGGTCGTAATTCACATTCACAGACACTTTGAAAACACATAAACAATCCTATTATATCATTTGGCAAAGGCTTATTTAAAATGGAGATGGACATAAAGTAAAAAGTATAGACCATGTGCATTAAGAGGATCACTTGTACTCTAAAAGGTTTTACTTCAGGTTCAGATGCTTGAGGGGCCAGGTGGTGGCATAATGATAACATAACTGGATCAAGGTGGGAAAGGTCCTGGGTTCATATCCTGGGATCTCCCTGAGCAAACATGACTCAGACTTGCTGAGACTGAGGATGGATCACAGCATGAGAACTCTGTTGGGGTGCCTCCTGCCCTCTCTGAAGAAATAAGTAAAGTTTAAAAGATATGTATTGAAAGAGACAGGGGTGGGGGAGAGAGAGAGAGAGAGAGAGAGAGAGAGAGAGAACCAGTTCTGTGATGCAGTGGTGATTGCCCATGGTGACCACAGTTCAGTTCAAATTCCCAGTCTGATCAGCCTGAAACACTCAGGGTAAACATGTGAATGTCCAGGTTCACACAAGCTGGAGGACTGGAGAAGGGAATTCATGTGACTGAAGCTGTGGAGTTCTCTCCACACTCTCTCTCTTGCTTTCACATGCATGCACATGTTCTCAGTTGTGGATAACCAAAAAAAAAAGTCCTTGAAAACATGTCTTCTGTGAATGTTCCCATATATATACTTTTCTCTCACCTTTTAGGCATCTACAATACCATGGTATGAGGTATGTGTTCAGGGCAAAAGGAAAACATAAACATATAAATATATGGCCTTTACCTTCATAAAACAGATTTATTTATTTATTTATTTATTTATTTATTTATTTTGCCATAGGGCACATGCACTTGCTGGAGAGAGACAGGGAGACACAGAGAGGGGAACGGGAGAACCTCCCAGCCCAGGGGGAATGGCCATGCCATAATCCCTTCTCCTCTCAGGATTTTGGGGACACACATGCGCCTGGTGTGATTTTCAAGTCTTTGGGCCAGACCTGAACCACAGTAGGCCATCTAGGAGACCAGCACTTTCTTTAACCACTACACCACTTGCTGGTCCCACAAAGGAGTTTCTTTTTATTTATTTATTTTTTTGAGAGATTTCTGCTATAGGGCGCGTGCCCTCCCAGAGAGAGAGAGACAGAGAGACAGAAAGTGAGAAATCACTTACCAGGGGGGATGGCCACACCCCAATCCCCTCTCCTCCATTCTCCTCTTGGGATCCTGGGCACGAACACACACGCGCCTGGCGTGAGTTCCAAGCCACTGGGTCCAGGACGCGAATCGGGGTCGACTACGTGGGAGTCCAGCGACATAGCCATTACGCTAACTGCTGGTCCCAAGGAGCTTCTTAAAACTATAATGAGCATGTGAATTCTGGGGAATCTAGCTTGCTGATTCTTGTTGAGCAGGTCTGGGACAGTTCTGAGATTCTACACTTCTGACAAGCTCCACGGGGATGCCAAGGCTGCTAATCCATGCACACACTTTGTGTTGCAACAAACCTATCTTTGAAGGACTTTTAAGGATCACATTTCTCCAGAAATGATACCTGGACTACTTGCTGTCTCTCAGGAACACAGATGAATTGCTGCTCTACACTGGTGACCACCACAGTATCTCATCTTGCCAGATGTTTTCTAGAAAAGGGCCTGAAAGGTGAAAAGCTAGAAAGGGTGTGCTCCTCTGAAGTCAAAAGACAGTCCTCGGTCACCACATTACCTCGTAATGAAAAATTTCAGGTGATTCAGTGCAAGTCTGGACAAAATAAAGGATTTGTCTAAAAGTGTCTATGACCTTCTAGCAGATGGCATTTTCTTATTTACAGTGAGGCCTTGGTTTCTTTAAGGTTTTTTGTGTCTCCTTATGTTGTGATCTTCCTTCCTCAGCCTCCTGAGTAGCTGGGAATATGAGTGCATGCCACCATGCCAGTCTTTTAGAGCAGACAGGGAATCAAACCACGGCCTCCCATGGGGGCCTCAGCCTGCTGAGTAGCAGTGTCATCCAACATGGACTATCAAAGTTGGGCCTCAAGGTTTCTAATCACGTGAACACAATGAACCCTAGCACTTCAGTTTGAGACTTATTTTTATTTTTAAATTTTTAAATAATTATTTAATTCCATTTGTTATTATTATTATTACTTTTAATTTGACTAGAGAGAGACAGAGAAAAAGGGAAAGCGAGAGAGCAAGCTGCTAGGTCTGGGACTTGAACTGCAGTTGGCCATGTGGAAATCCAGCGTCTTTAACCACACCACCTACCAGTCCCTATTTTGAGTAACTTGTAAGCCATAATGGGCTTACTAAGGTTTATGGAAATTTGCTCAGAGAAGTCCAGGGCAGAGCCAAAGTAGTCTCTGAGTATATTAATAGCTAACTCTTAAATAGGCTAGGGGTACCTTGAGGAGAAGAAAACAAAACAAAACAAAAGGCAGAAACTCATTTGAATCCATTATGCCAGTGAGGACACCATAGACTATACTGTTTTTGTTTTTGTTTTTTCACATGACTGAGCAGTGCTATGGCTGGTACTCTTCCCAGGTGGAGCTTGGGTTCTAAACAATGAGAAACTGGAACATATATTTACTAGGCTTGAGTACTGCTTTATGGTAGACTGTCATCAGAATTTGGGAATAGAAAAGGATCTGCAGGTTATTATTATTATTACTTTTAATTTGACTAGAGAGAGACAGAGAAAAAGGGAAAGCGAGAGAGCAAGCTGCTAGGTCTGGGACTTGAACTGCAGTTGGCCATGTGGAAATCCAGCGTCTTTAACCACACCACCTACCAGTCCCTATTTTGAGTAACTTGTAAGCCATAATGGGCTTACTAAGGTTTATGGAAATTTGCTCAGAGAAGTCCAGGGCAGAGCCAAAGTAGTCTCTGAGTATATTAATAGCTAACTCTTAAATAGGCTAGGGGTACCTTGAGGAGAAGAAAACAAAACAAAACAAAAGGCAGAAACTCATTTGAATCCATTATGCCAGTGAGGACACCATAGACTATACTGTTTTTGTTTTTGTTTTTTCACATGACTGAGCAGTGCTATGGCTGGTACTCTTCCCAGGTGGAGCTTGGGTTCTAAACAATGAGAAACTGGAACATATATTTACTAGGCTTGAGTACTGCTTTATGGTAGACTGTCATCAGAATTTGGGAATAGAAAAGGATCTGCAGGTGTAAACATGGAAGTGTGGGGCCAGGTCAATGGCACAACAGTAACATGCTGATAGAGCAATGCTGGAACCATATGGAAGATTGTGGGTTTGGTTCTTCAGTTGACCTGTACACTCAAATGCATGTATCTGTAATCCTGGCTTGGTGAGAAAGCTGGAGAGGGATTATGGTGTGAGAACTTCTGTGCTTCTCTTTCTTTATGAATGAAAGAAATAAACTTAGAAAAAAAAAAAAGAATGTAATTTTGACTTGACCACTATCCAACGTGTTAGAATAAGATTTCTGATTTTGATGAACAAGAGTTTCTACCCATAAGACTACTCAAGGATGAAGACTCCTTATAATTGCCAGAGTGCATGTGCTTTCCAGAAAGAGAAACAGAGAGTGTTGAGGAAGGATCCTTCAGTGGGGCATGGTCACGTCACAACCCCTTCTCCTTCATTTGTTCATCTTGTTTATCTTCAGGCACACATACATGAGCTTGATGTGTTTTTCTAGCTCCCATAGCCAGGATTCAAACCACAGTTGGCCATGTGGGATCTAGTTCCCTTAGCCACTAGGCCACAGGGTCAACCAGAAGACTTTCTTAACAGTGATTTACATCTCTGGCCTAAGAGATTTAAGGTAATATTCACTGTCTGTAACCTGTAACTGCTCAGAGAATTTTAAGAAAACCTTAACTCTAACACTAAGAATAATTTCTTTCCCTTTATTGAAGCTTATAAGGCAAGTAATTAAGAGTATTATCATTTTGTTACACCAAATTGCAATACACTTAGGGCTTTATTTCTATGATAGAGACCTTTTCTAATAGGACAGCCTACTTTATAAAGAACAATCTGTGAATTCTGGAAATAGCAGGTGAATATTTATTGATTCTTGATTCATGATCTCTACTTAAATTTTGAACATTTGGTATATTTTAGATGGCAAGAAACAAGGGATAATACTATTAATCCAGCCTTAAATTGCTTTTCTTATTTGAAAGAAGGTACCTTTACCCCATTTGATTATGTTACCTACTTAATAAATGGCAGTCCATCACAAATAGCTTTTTTTTTTGGAGAGATTTTCACTGTAGGGCGCGTGCGCTCGCCAGACAGACAGAGACATAGAGACAGAAAGCGAGAAATCACCCCCCAGGGGGGATGGTCACGCCGCAATCCCTTCTCCTCCATTCTCCTCTTGGGATCTTGGGCACGCACGCACACGCGCCCGGCGTGAGTTTTAAGCCACCGGGTCCGGGACACGAACCGCGGTCGACTACGTGGGAGTCCAGCGACAGAGCCATTACGCTAACTGCTGGTTCCCACAAATAGCTTTTTAAGTTGATTAACACTTTAGGAAGAATTTTGGCTTCTCAGGTGATTATTTACTTATTAGTGTTCCAGCTACTAAAAAAATCATGTGTTACATTTCGTGTTGAGGTTGAGCTGGTAGCTCAATTCTTAGCTTGTTTCCCAGTTTCCCCACTGTCACAAATAATTTTGAAAGGAAAGCAAATTGAGCGGGTTAGGAATTAAGCAACCACATTTTAATCAATAAATATTAACATTTGTTAACCAGTTATTAGGCAGATAAAAACAGTAATTTATCAAGAATTCAAAAGAAAACACCATCTTGAAAACAAAGTGCCAAAAATATTTGTCATAAACTCCCACTTACAGAATTAGAGGTAACAATTTTTTTTTACTCAAAACAGGGCTCGGAGTAATCTAAAAAGTTCCAGGTGCATTTTAAGGCTAAAACAGATGATTTTTCACGTAAAGCTAAAACAGATTATTTTGCACATACACAGGTTACCTGACAACTCAGCGTATAAATGATTGAATAGATGGACTGCTGAACATCAAGGGACTGCATTACTTAAATTCACATTATGGGCCAGGCTTTCATCCATTTCTGCTGCTCTGCCTCACTATCCCCAACTCTTCTCTGTATCCCAGGAAATTATACTCCCCAGGGCCTTCACCAGCTGGCTTCCAGGCAGGGCTGGAATAGTAAAGTGCTGTTGGAAGACTGGAGGGCAGGAGAGGCAAGGCCAAGGTATTTCTCTGTATCTGGCTCAGCTCTGGTTTTGCCTCCACCTCAGGTAGCAGCCCTGGTCTTGTCGTGGCTCCATTTTCCATAATCCTTCCATGATCCTGGCTCCCATCAGGTACCCCACCATATTCCAGCTCTTATGAATGATCCCAGCTTCTGAACTCAGGAAACTGTGCCTCTTCCTACTATCCTCATAGCCCTAGGTGTGGTAACATCTTCCTGCGGGTTGGCTTCTCTTTTATCTTCTAAGTCAATTTCCTGTATTAAATTCCTTCTATTAAAACACGTAGATGGTTTCTGTTTTCTTGATGGGATCCTGACTGGTGTACTAGAATCATGAAATTTTTCTTCTTTTCTAACTTATCTGGGAATTTCTGCATGAGATTCTGTCCTAAGCCAATGAAAAAATCACTCAAACCACACTCAGTAGTCACTTTCTGCAATACAGGCCAATGAATATCCTCTTGGCTGTTTGGTTGTTTTGTTTTGTTTTGTTTTTTAATTGAGCATTGGGATTCTCTTTGCTAAGTGCAAACAGGACTCTGATTCTTCCAATATCACCACCAATTACAACAGACAGCCAAGAGTCTTCTCCATAGGTCACTTCTGTTGTATGTACTAAGTGCAATAACAAGGTGAAAGAAATACAAACAAAATTAATCTGGAGGAAATTACAGTCATCAAATGAGTAACATCATATATTTAAAAAAGTCTCTGAAAATTCAGAGAACACAGCCAGCACCAGAAAGTTTCTTCCCTGTTGAATCAGTAAATTTTCTTGAAATTAAAATCCTGTTAAATTTCCAGATACTTCAAGAGCATTAAAAAAAAAAAGGGTCTGATCAATGAATGATCCATAGGTTCTAAGCTAGAATGCTCCCAGAACGGTTACTGACAGAAGTAGAGTTCCTTGGTAAGCATGGAGACCACACATGGGATCTGCTTCTTCTCGTGGAAGTGTGGATCATCTGAGTGAGACTCGAAGTGCCTGGCCACCCTGTTGTTCACCCTGGTGAGGATCTGCATGATCTCCAGGTCTTTCCCATGCTCATCCAGAATGGAACACAAAGCCTGCACAAACCAGGAGCCTCTTCCTGGGCTTCTCCATGAGTAATAGCCTTCAACAGAAGAAAAATGAAAAGATCAAGTCAGCTAATTCTTGGCGCTGCTCTACTCAACACTGAGAACGAGCTACCAGTATTTAGGGCCATCACACCTGCTTTTTGGAAATTATTTCACTCTACTCTGCATACAAATCATGAATGAAAATTACGCTGGGTCAGTGACAATCAAAATAAATTTGTATTGATGAGTTATGCTTTTTCCTATTGCCAGTCAGTCACATCAGTTTATCAAGAACTGGGTCATCTCACTGCCATTATAACAATCAGTTATGGAATAACTGTATAATAAGCAGAAATAACCCATTGGTGTAAAGTGACTGAGGTGCACGTAGGATTCTTTCCTGCAGTACATAAAAAGTACTGGCAACTACCAGAATCAGGGGAGCTCAAAGGGGTTACTCACATCATGATAATGCATTCCATTTGTTGGGGGCAGGGGTGACATACATTATCTTGTCAGTACAATAACCTGGTAAAGCAGGGAACAGACTGTCATCTCCGTTTCATTACAACCTCCAGGCTGCTATCCTCTAACATCTTAAGGGGTCTTCCAGGTAACTATTTTAAACTGCAAATTTCATTCTCCTACTCTATGACCTACGTGGTTGTTTTGTGCTCCTTTAGCAGGATAAACTTCAGGTTGCTTAGCACAGCACATGTGGGGCCTACTGTGATACCAAGCTCATGCCTGCCTGCCCAGGTCTACCATTCACCATGCCCTGTCAGAACCTGTGCAATAGACTGAGCTCTGTCCCCTCAAAATTCACATTTGAAGGCTCAATCCCCAAGGTGACTGTATTGGGAGACATGAACTTCATGGAGTTAGAGTTCCTTGGTAAGCATGGAGACCACACATGGGATCTGCTGAGGGATTTGCTGGGGTCAAATGAGGTCAGAAGTGTTGGACTCTGGAACCAGCAGGTGGCGTGGTGGCTGGGTAGGCTGGACTCTCACATGGCCAACCATGGTTCGAGTTGCAGTATAAAGGACCTGGCGACTTGCTTTCTCTCTCTCTCTCTCTCTCTTAGTCTCGCTCTGTCCCTCTCTGGTCAAATTTAAATAAATAAATAAAGTTAAATAAAATAATTCCTTAGTTCCCCCAGATCGTCCTCAGAGCACTTACACCACTCTCATTGGCTTTGTTTACAGATACATGCACCCACTGCATGTATCTCTAAAGCAGGAAGACCGAATTACTTCCTACAACTTATAAACTTCTAATTCTTACAAAATGCCAACCGTCAATCTTGCCAGAGCTGGTTTTGCGAACACACTGAACTATTTACTGTAACCAATACCTTTGCACCAAGCATTTGACAAAATTTCTATTACAGCTGGGGGAATTATAACTTAGAACAAAGGAAGGACTTTCATTAAGAGAAACATCGGGCAAACATGGTGCTTGGTAAATAGTGAGTAGGCTTACTCATAACTGGCATTTTCTGGTACCCATGTACAGGTTGCAGTATAAAGGAATCCTGGTCTAAGCCATAGCTCCATTGTATACTGAAATTTCCACCTAACCTGGGCACTTCAGTTCATCGAAGCTCACTTTTTCTCCTTTATCTGTAAAGTCAGGCTAGCAATAACACCTTTCTTTACTATCTACCTAATAATCATATGGATGATAAGAGAAAAACACATACAAAACTCTCTAAATTTTAAAGCACTATAGGAATGTTTGTTCTTATAATTATCAATAATAATAGTAACAATAAATAAGAGAATTCAGCTTTCCTGAAGAGAAAAGTGAGTATATCCTGCTTTGGTTTGAATGTGTCTCCTCAAAATTCATGTGTAGCAATGTGGTTGCTATTGTGATGGTATTACAAGGGTAGAAACTTAATCCATCTATGATATTACAAGATTAAGTCCTTAGGGAGCCAATTAGGATTAGAAACGGTCATCAGGGTGGGTCCTCAGGACTGAATACTTGTGGCTTTATAAGAAGAGGAGAGAAATTGGAGTGAATAACACATGCTTTTGTCCTTCTGCCACGTGATGCCTTGTGATACCTCAGGACTGTGCAGAGTCCCCATCAGGAAGTAGGCTTTCATTAGATGTGGTCTCTTGACTTTGGATCTCCAGCATCGTGAGCTAAGTAAATCTTTATTCTTTGGAAACAACCCAGTCTATGGTATCCAGTTATAGTAACAGAAGAACAGACTTCGGCAATCCTTATGGTGTGCAGAATAATGGTCCCTGGTGATGTCTATGCCCTAACCCTGGAATCTGTGACTATGTTACCTTATTTGGCCAAAAGGACTTTGCAGAAGTGACTGAGGTTATAGAACTAAGATGGGGAGATGATCTTGGGTTAACCAGCTGGGCCTAGGTTAATCACAGAAAAAGAGTGACGCAAGGTTGCTGATTTTAAAGATGAAGGAAGGAGCCACCAGCCATGGAATATAGGAGGTTCTAACAAACTGGAAAAAGGCAAGGAAATCAATTTCCCCCCATGCCTCCAGAACAATACAGCGCTGCCAGCCTATTTTTAAATTCTGGCCTCTAGACCTGTAAAATAATGTATTCTGTGTGTTTTAAGCTCCTGTATTTGTAGTAATTTATACTTAGCCATTGAAAACTAATACAGCCCCCAGACCTACATTTTGATGGTAAAATAGATTGGTATGGTTAGCAGACAATGGATTTGATACCTGGAACCGTGGAATAGGCGAAGAGAAAGTCAGCTTCAACTGGGATCTTATATCGGGGATTAGCATCTGTATCATTGATAGGTCCAGAGTCTGCTTGGACCCCATCATCAAGCTCTGTCCCTCGGCAAGCCTAAATATCAAAGCAGAGATCACCCAATGAAGATGGGAACAGAAATGTATGCTATTCACTATTGCAACCCAGTGCCTACAACTGTGCCTGAGATATACTACGAGCTCAATGGTTAATTTTTTTAGAGAATTATTTATTCGTTATTATTATTTTTTAATTTGACCATAGAGAGACAAAGAGAGAGAGAGAAAGGGAAGGTAAGAAAGCAAGCCACCAGGTTTGGGATTCAAACTCAGTTGGCTATGTGGGAGTCCAGTGCCCTAACCACCATGCCACCTGCCAGCCCAAAACATTTACTAATGAATAAATGGTGGTGTGTCTAATTATTAAGCAAGCAAATGTAAGTTTTGTAGTATCTTAAAGAAACCCTTATAACTTGTGATGCAATGCAAATACAAATGCAAATATGTCAACCATTTAGATAAAGAAAAACAAAACCTAAATTCACATGCCCTAATGAAAACAGTATGTAGATTTGTCATCGGGGATTAGCATCTGTATCATTGATAGGTCCAGAGTCTGCTTGGACCCCATCATCAAGCTCTGTCCCTCGGCAAGCCTAAATATCAAAGCAGAGATCACCCAATGAAGATGGGAACAGAAATGTATGCTATTCACTATTGCAACCCAGTGCCTACAACTGTGCCTGAGATATACTACGAGCTCAATGGTTAATTTTTTTAGAGAATTATTTATTCGTTATTATTATTTTTTAATTTGACCATAGAGAGACAAAGAGAGAGAGAGAAAGGGAAGGTAAGAAAGCAAGCCACCAGGTTTGGGATTCAAACTCAGTTGGCTATGTGGGAGTCCAGTGCCCTAACCACCATGCCACCTGCCAGCCCAAAACATTTACTAATGAATAAATGGTGGTGTGTCTAATTATTAAGCAAGCAAATGTAAGTTTTGTAGTATCTTAAAGAAACCCTTATAACTTGTGATGCAATGCAAATACAAATGCAAATATGTCAACCATTTAGATAAAGAAAAACAAAACCTAAATTCACATGCCCTAATGAAAACAGTATGTAGATTTGTCAAAATGATGCCATCCCAGTCATACTATAATCTTTTCCCATTTCCGTTGTATTGGCTTTAAAAAGCGATTACCTGAATGAAAAAGAGTTTGGGTTTCTCTAAAAGGGTTCTGCATCTATCTCCCCTAAAATGAGCTGTCAAATCCTTTATTGGTGTCACACCATCTTTTCCATAAATTAAATTTTCTTCTCCATGGCTTAGTAAGATGCAGGCGAAGCAAGCTGAATTTGTGTGGTCCTCTTCAGAAGCTGCAAACAAGCAATGGATCATTGAAAAGTGAACATACACGTCCTGTGGGACCTCGGGTGGCGTCTTCCCAGTGGTAGCCTGGCAGCTGTGTCAACTGCTATTATAAGGAAGCAGGGACCAGGCTATTCCCAAAGGGCTGGAGGTTAACTGAGCCATCTCTGGAAAGACCATAAGGGTCAGTGGAGAGATGATAGACAGGAGTGTTCTAGGATCCTCAGTTTAAGGACAGGTGTTCAGGCAGCTGTTGTGAGGCAGAATACTGGGGAGCTGAAGGACACCACCCTGTTGTTTGCTCCTTGTGTGGCACTTGGCAAACTTAGTCATTTTGTGCTTTGGTTTCCTTGTCTGTAAAGTAGAAGTAATAATACCTATTAATGAGCTAATATTTGTAAAGCAGGCCACATAATAGACTTCACACAAGTATTAGTTAAAGAAAATAAATACTATGCTAAGTCAAACAAGCCAGCCATGAAAGGCTAAATACTGAATGACTGACTCTACTTTTATGAGGTACCTGGAGTGGTAAGTTCACAGCAAGTAGAAAGGTGGTTGCCAGGGGCTGAGGAAGGGGAGATAGGGAGGGAGTGTTTAACAGATACAGGATTGCAGTTGTGGAAGACAGAAGGAATTCCACCAGAGGATGGCGATGATGGCTGCACAGGAACACAGATCTGTGTAATGCTGCTGATCCTCCACTTAAAAAGGGTTAAGACGACAAATCCTGTTATGTGTGTTTTTCTATAATTATTTTTAAAAAAAAAGCCTGAAAATTAAAAAAAAAGAGGGAACCAGCAGTTAGCGTAATGGCTATGTTGCTGGACTCCCACGTAGTCGACCGCGGTTCGCGTCCTGGACCCGGTAGCTTAAAACTCACGCCGGGCACGTGTGCGTGCATGCCCAACACCCCGAGAGGAGAATGGAGGAGAAGGGATTGCGGCGTGACCATCCCCCCTGGGGGGTGATTTCTCGCTTCCTGTCTCTATGTCTCTCTATGTCTGTCTGGCGAGCGCACGCGCCCTATAGCAAAAAAAATCTCTCCAAAAAAAAAAAAATTAAAAAAAGAAAGAAAAGAATGACTGTCAATTTAGGATACGGAGAGGAATCATAAATCATGTAGCCAGTTGGCTCAGCTCAAATTTATTTAAAATCTTGTGATATTAACTAATTTGTTATCTAGCTAACAAACATATTCTCATTTGTTCTCTAAATTCATGAGGAGGGAAAAATAAGATTAGAATTTCTTTTGCATCCTTCTGTATATTGACACTAATCGAGGTACTTTGTATGAGTTATTAATCCCTATATAAAGCCCATAAAGTAAATGTCATTTATTTTTAATAACAGAAACTTGGGGCGCTAGCAGTGATAAAATGTGATACCCTGAGGGCTAGCAGATGGCATAATGGTAATGTCACTGGACTCCATGTAGTTGAGAGTGATTCTAGTCCCGGACCTGGTAGCTTAAAACTCACACTGGATGCATGTGTATGCATGCCCAAAACTTCAAGAGGAGAATGGAGGAGAAGGGATTGTGGTGTGGTCCTCCCCCTGGGGGGTGATTTCTAGCTTTCTATCTCTCAGTTTCTCTTTGTCTCTCTGGCAAGCACACACGCCCTACAGCAAATATCTCTCTTATAAAACAAAACAAAACAAAAAAACAAAAAACGTGATACACTATGAGACTTACCCATGGAGAAAAGTTCTGGGTTCACATCTGGAGACCTCCCTGAGTATGTCAGGCACGTGTGTGCCATGACCGAGGGCTGGCTGAGGCAGGGGGCGGATCATTGGCATTAAGACCCTACTGGAGCCGCTTCCTCTCTCTCTCTCTTTCTCATTAAATAAAGAAATAACTCCAGAATCTTAAGAGAAGTTTCATAACTCTGCTCAAATGTGGCACAAGAAAGGAATCATATTCCAAGTCCAGGGTGCCAGAGTGCCCTGCTATCTCATCAACTCGACAGAGCGAATGTGGCCTCTGCCATTCTAGTCATGGACACACTGCATCAATCTGCAGTCATTTTTCTATTAATTTTGACAACAGAAGTACAAGATGATGGCGATGTAAGCTGGAATTCTTAGCTTATTCGAAGACCAGATATATCAGGACAGAGTGAGAAAAGGGAGGTTTTATCCTCACGTGAACCAATTACAGGTATAGTCAAGAAAAATAACTACCTTATTGTTTTTCTTTTTAAAATTTTATTTATACTGAATCACTGTACATCCTCACAGCGTAGAAAACAGGTTTCCCCGTGTAAATACAGTGCATATTACTCAAGTCATAAATATTACCATGTACATTATCATCAATAAATAACTTTCCATTTTTGTTCTGTCAAATGTTTCTTCCCCCCCTCCATTTCCCTCCCTTCCTGTTACCCCTCCTATACTGTTTCTAGTATCTTGAGTTGCCCTCCTTGGTATTTTAACTTCCAGTCTCTCAGTTTCTGTCACAGAGTGTAGATATTCAGTACATATTGAGCAGGGACATACAATGCCTGCCTTTCATAGTCTAGCTTGCTTTACTTAATATTAAATTTTCCATGGCAGAACAACAAATGAGAATTCTCTGATCATGACATGCTCTGAGCTTGGTGGAACAGCTCATCTTCCACAGGAACAGAAATTATAATTGGAACAAGCCCTTATACCTATATAGGCTATTTCAGTTCTCAAAACACCTTCATAAACTTCCTTGCTCTTTTCCCAAGAAACAGGAGGGGCCGGGATCATGATCTGCATTTCAGAAAAGCGAACACATCAGGGAAGATGCAGCTGTCTTGCCTGGGGAGCCCAGCTTTTAGAACTTAGGCCAGAACCAGAACTTGGGACTCTGAATTCTTAGTATGCTCTACCATGTGGCCTGCCAAGGTATGAAGGTCAGCTTATAAGATTCAAGTTTGAAGAAACTAGGAAAAACCGTCTAGCTTAAAAAAAAGAAATTAAGGGTGGAGTCTCAGGTTCTTATCTACTGCCTGTGGGGCCATGCCTAATGAATAAGTAGGATGTTACTTTTCAAATACTTGCCCTAAATGCCAGTGTATCCTAGGTGGCATCCACTACATAGTGACATAACAGAAAACCCATTTGTCCTAGAGGTGGAAGACCTGTGCTCCTACTGACTGGAGCCTTATTCTGTATGTCTCATCCTTTCTATAGCTCTATCCCCACAAACTCAAAATGGGCATGATGGCCAATGTTCTGTCAGCCAACACTGCAGAGGCTGTGTTAAAGATCTAATGAAATAATTTTGTGAATGTGCTATACAAAGAGTAAAGTAGTACCAAAGTATACTGGGATTATTATTCTCAGTCTGTCAACAGGGAAAAGTTCACACGTAAACTCTGTTCTGGACAGGACAATATAGGTTTGTTATTCCCTAGGAATTAGCCTTTGAAATTGCAACCATTCCGTATATATTGAACCTACTTGTCTTGCTGGAATGCTGGAATTTAAGCTGATTTTCCCTTTTACAAAGAGACTGAAGTTTCTTCAAAGAGACCTGCATACCCCACTGTAGCTATGGACTGGCCAGGAGAAAGGGAACCTTCCCATGCTAGCTGAAAATTCCTGTCCTGCAAAGGTGTCCTCCTGAGACCAGCCTGGCCCTGCTCCTCTCATGCGCTAGAACAAGACAGAGGAAGGAGTGGTAAGTACTCACCTTGTTTAAGTAGATCTTGCATCTTGGCACAAGAGCAGTCATTATAAACGACCACATCGAAACCCAGGTTTCGGAAGCATTTAAAAAGGGCTTCAGCATCTTTGTCTGTTCCATTTCGGACGCCCATACCTAAGGAAATCAGGTAGAGAATTCACAGATTAGCAACCCCTGAATGAGTAACACGTATGGATACCAGCAAGCTAAATACAGCTGTGGGAGCTCCAGCCAAAAGACTTACAGTATGTAAAACGCCTTCTGAGGTCACAATATAAATGAGCAATGCGAACTCAAAAATGAGGATAACTGAGCCCATCCACTAGAGGTGAGCACTCTCCCACTACCATGGTAACCCTCAGCTCCAATCAAAGCCAAACAATTTCCCCTGATTCTTAGCCCTTTGGTCAAAGTCCCAAGTCAGCCGACAGACACCACAGGAGCCCTGAGAGTAAAAGTGCTTGATTTCTCTGCATCCCTCTCTCCCGGACACATGAATGCCACCTTCACAGGCGCTGTCTGCCAGAGTAGGTGGGCAGAGCATTTCTCCAGAAAACAGAAGACAACAAGAAAAGTTAATCCACACCCACAACACCCACCTGTCACTTTATCGAAGTTCTTGTTGTTTATTATAATGCATTTGCCCACCTTCTCAAAATTCATGTTATATTGATATGAAGACGCTCGGTCCCGGGTGGTCTTGACTGACTGTCCTGAGTCATTTTTCTTCTTCTTACTAGGAAAATATAAAGCCAGTCAGGGGCCGCAGAAGGAGTTTGAACAGTAAAGGCTTCTTGGTTTTATTACTAGTATGAAAGGGGGGTGCCCGAGAAAGCGGCAGTACCTGTGAAGAAAAAACGTGGGGTGGGCAGATGGCTCTGTCTGTCATGTTCAAATGCAACAAGGCATCTTGGCAAATTCCTTAGGTTCCAGAGAAATACAGACTACAATCACAAAGCAATATCTGTACACACTCATTAGAATGGCTATAATGTAAAAGAAACGGTGTGTTTGGCCCCTGAGTTTATCATACAAGGGAAGCCTATTTTGTACAGCCATAGTGGAAAACTGGAGGAATCTGGTAAAATTTTACACATCTCCTATAAGAGAACAACTCTCCTAGGGAATGTCAGTATGTTCACCAAACAGTAGATCCACATATGTGCACGGCAGTACCATTATTAATTGCCCCAAATAAGGAACTAAACCACATGTACATTACAGTAGAATAAACTGTTGACTAGTCATATACTGAAATACTATATAATAACAAGACGAAGAAACCCTGACAATGGAAAGCAATTATGCATGGATCTCACAAGTGTAACACTGAGTGAAGGGACGAATCTGTTGAGTTATCAGAAAAGTCATGACGCATTTCCACATTGAAAAACACAGAAAAAAAATGTCAGGACTTTTCTGACAACCTAATACAAAAAAAGTATATACAAAGTTTAAGAAAAACCTAACACCTGGTAATAGAAGTCTGGCACTGGTTTTCCGTATGGTAGGAGGGTTAGGAACCAGAAGAGACATAAAGGCTTTCTTGAGTGTGGGTCCGATTTTGTTCCTTGGCATGGGTAGTGGTTACGTAGGTGTGTCAGTAAGTGAAATTAATGTGTGCACTTTTCTGTGTGGATGTTATAACTGAATAACATTTACGTAATGTTATATAAGTAGAAAAAGGAAGAGAGCAATTAAATGAGGAAATTAGGTCCTTTCCAGTCTCCCAGCACTGTGGTTCTGTGTGTCCAATGTCTGGCACATAGACACCGGGGTGGGAGCTTGAGACATCACCAGCCGGGCAGAGGAACAAATGTCAAGTGCGAGTGGGAAGCAGACTTGCATATCATCTGTGTCAGTGTGAGCTCCTGGAAGGGAGGGGGTTGTTTATTATTTTCTTTAAAGGTTTTTCACTCATTTTTTTTTTTTCATATGTGAGAGAGACAGAGACAGACAGCACCCCCGGGATCTCCATGCCATGCTCTACCATCAGCCTAAATCAGACTGATTATGGGTGTGTGGATGCCTGGCACACTCAGGGAGGTCTCTGTACATGAATTGGGAACCTTGCAGAGAAATGCATTTTACCACTGTGCTACCATCTGGCCAGAGAACGAAGAGATTTTTTTTAAGTGTTTAGTAAATTGCTGTATCTCCAACACTGGGAACAACACCCAGCATCGAAGTTGCTCAGTAAGCATTGGTTATATGCATGAATGAGTATGGTCATATACCCTCGTTTGATGGAGATGGAAGCTGAGGTCCATAGGGAGGCAAGAGACTGTCCCAGGTCCCAGCCAGTGATGGGGAAAGTGGGACCATGACCCAGGCCTCAGACTTGCACATCAGAGCTCTGCAATCCCGAGTATTTGTTAGAAAGGCCTGCCCTGCTCATACAGCTCTCATCCACAGGGGAAGAAGCAAAGTGAAAACTCAGCTTGTGACCAGCCAAATATGGGTCCAAAAGTATTTCACTCAAGTTTTCACTGACTAATCTGTTGGAGTTTTTCAGAATCTCAGAAAGCACTAGGCCTTTCCCTTTCCCACCCCCCTTTCCTTGGTCTAGACTACAGGTTAGCTCTGTATGTCTGAACTTCAGATTCTTTACAGCTATTTTTCCACTTCGACCTAACTTCATCCTCCACTTTCGTAAGGTTAAATTTCTTCCATGATGCCATTTTACTTTGAGAAGAGGAATACTCTGCATCTGTCCCGCTGCCTCTTCTGAGCTCTTCCCTTCCTTGAGTTGCCTGGAGTACAGGGTAACACCATCTTTTCTTCACACTTCTCCCAGAAAGGCAGCACCAAATAACTGTGCCCATTCACTTGTGCAACTTGAGCCAGTGAGCCACTGCCCTTCACAGAGGTCAACTTCCTCTCTGCCTGCATGCGGCAGGAGAAACCTTCTATGATGATCATAAACTGGAAGGGAGATATGGTGGCAGGTACTCCTTCTGGACTGCTTTCTGTCTCAGAGGACATGAGTATCAGCAAAGGGAGCGTCCGCACTGTGGAAGGACACATATGTGGGCAGGAGTAGAATTTATTTTCTTACAACTCCAATTGACAGTGTCGTCTGTACACGTTAAAAATGTGTGTTGGACTGGCCTCATAGTACAGAGGTTAAGCCCTGCACATTGGGACCTGGATCCATGTGACCAACTGTGATTCAATACTGGCCCCAGCAGCTTAAAAAACACGCCAGGCACATGTGCATTCGTGCCCAGAATCCTGATGGGAAGGAAGAACGGAGGAAAAGGGATTGCAACGTGACCATCCTCTTATGGAAGGATGCTTTCTCTTTCTCTGGTAACTGCACGTGCCTTCTAGCAATTTTTAAAAAAAACTGTGCATGACATTTCATATATACACGACGTTTTTGGTTTTCATTTACTTTTTAGAGATATTTTTGCAATAGGGTGCATGTACTTGCCGGGGAGACAGAGAGAGACAAAGAGACAGAAGGCAAGAAATCACCCCTGGGGGGATGGCCACACTGCAATCCCTTTTCCTTCATTCTCTCTCAGGATTTTGGGCACATGCACACATGCACCCGCCATGAGTTTTGAACACTGAGTCCAGGACTTGAACTATAGTTGACTACATGGGAGTCCAGAGATGTAACACCATCTGCTGGTCCCAAAGTTTTTGGTTTTTAATAGATGCCTCAAAGGTAGATAGAAGAGGTATAATCATGCCCATTTTTAGGTCATAATAACAATTAAGAATTTTTCATGTTTACGCTGAGCCTGAAAACATTCATCTGTATTTTCTCATTAAATTCTGGCTGCTACTCAAACAGGGAGACAGATGTCATCATAAGTCCCTTTAAGGATGAACAGCAGAGGCTTGAGGCGGTTAAGTGACTGCCTCAGGGGGGTAAGTGGGTGCGGCAGGACCAAATCCAGGCAGTCAGCCTCAGAAACAGTCTTCTTACTCACTGGGGATCCCAGGATGAAAACAGCAGGCTTCTAGGAGAAGTCAAACTGTGATGGGTCACAAGCCCACAGAGAGGTGATCCATGTTCCTGGCACCAGGACTGACAGATCAGTGTCCAAGTGACCCGCCCGGAGAAGTGCACTCGATGATTTTTTTCTGGGAACCCTCTCTCCACAGAACCCGTATGTGCAGGCTTCCCAAGCTGTGTGGGTAACTGGTTCATGAAAAAAAGAGGTGCATTGGGAAAGTCAAGCTCTAACCTTAGAGCTCCAATGTTCTTACAGATAAAAAACAGGCCTAGTTGTTACTGTTAGAGATAAGGTGCATGAAAGTACTCTGAAATCTCCAAAATTCAGAATAAATATGGTGTACTTACATACAGTTATTCCTTATTCGTACCTGCCACCTATGGGCCAAGAGCTTTATAAAATCACAGCTCATTCTCACAGCCACACTGCATTTGTGCAGGTAAGAAAGTTCAAGTTCAGCCTGGAATGTGATTTCTGGTGCTCTAGCCCCACAGTGTGTGCTTTTCTACCACTTGTTTTTTGAATAAGGTCTTTGATATTAAAACCCAAGACAGGATTTACTCATCTTTCAGGAAACTTTTGGAGAAGTCAGAGTATAATCTGTGACTTTTCTTAAACCGAGACCCCTGGCCCAGTTAACCTCTCAACAAAACTTCATCTAGCATTCTCTGCAACCTTTCAGAAAATATCAGAATGAGATAAAAGGAACAAATAGTAAAGAAGTACAGTAAGGTTTTTAACATGTTAGCTGTATTTCAGAGCAATACTCATTAACTATGGCAGACCAGAGTTCAGTTTCTGCACTAACATTCTTTAAGACAGTGGTCCCCAACCTTTTTGACACCAGGGATCAGTTTTGCAGAAGACAATTTTTCCATGGATGCAGGGTGGAGAGGAGGGTGAGCAGGGATGGTTTATGAGAGTGGGCAATCTAGATCCCTCGCATGTGTGGTTCACAATAGGGTTCTCACCACTATGAGAATCTACTGCCACAGCTGATCTGAGAGGAGGAGGAGATCAGGAGGTAATGCGAGTGACGAGTGACGGGGAGTGGCTGTAAACATAGATGAAACTTTACTCCCTCCCCTGCTGCTCACCTCCTGCTGTGCAGCCCAGTTTCCAACAGGCCACAGACAGGCACTGGTCTGCTGTCTGAGCTGGGGACCCCTGCTTTAAGAGATTAAAATTTTATTTCTACATTGTGATTTGGATCTCTATGTCAATTTTCAAGTAATAAACAAGCTGTGATTTCTAAAAGTTTATTTTATTCATGAGAGCGTGTACACATGCACGAGAGAGGGGAAGAGAGAGAGAGAGAGCACTATTACCCCTGTCAGGATCTCATCATGGTTCCCCTTCCCCAGTCTTCCAGCTCCTCAGGATCATGGGCACGTGCACATGCACCCAGTGGATGTTCAGACTGAGCCTGAGATCCAAACCTGCAGCTGGTTATGGGGCTTCTAGTGCTGCCGTTCAGCCTGCTACCACTGGGCTAGCGGGTTGGCCCAAGCTGTGATATTTTTAAAGTTATCATTAGCTCATCCTCAGTGATGAGCTAAACAAAATCAGAGAGTCAGAAAGAAGTTACGTAAAGAATAAAAGGACTCTGCTTTCATGAGAACAGAATTTGGAAAATTCACTGGTTAGCCCATACACACACACAACTAGGGGAATAAAGAAAACACTATCCATAGTTACGGAAAGTACCTTAAAACTGAATATGGAATATGATTCTTATCCTTGGAAAATATCTCAAAAGGGTGGT